CGACATTAAACTCAACACGACCCATCTGCCGCCATCTTGACTCTTCTAGACTCTTGCACTACATTTGTTATTCAGCAGCTGTCAATCAGGGCCTCATACACCATTTCATCAAAGAAGTATTCAGTAACAAACTAATCAGAAAAAAAATCATCCTGGAACAAAAATCAATGCGCTGATGAATGTTTAACCCCAAAATGGCACCATTTAACTGAGCCAGAAACTGTGATTAGATTTTCAACTTACTACGGTTTGAACCTATCAAAAACAATCAAATCTTAACCTCAGATTGTGACATTTCATCAAAATCACTTTATTCTACATGCATCACTCAAAAGATTTGCACCAGTTTAAAGCTAAAGATTCGGTGTTGGGACGGACTCAGCTGTGACCAACAGTCAAAAAGTCAGTTTTAGGTTGAACTGCAGGCGGTGTTTCCACAGAGCATGGAGGGGATGACTAACATATGAACAAAACATCCTGGATCAATAAGATAAATGGCTCAAAAATGGTGAACGTAGGAGCAAGTTGTTGGAAGATACATTCAGCATGGTGAAACATCTTGATGTGCAGAGTCACGTGAAAAAGGCAGTTTGTAGAGGCTTTAAAAATGTAACTTATTAGATAGCTATAATATGTGGTGTCACATTTTTACTCACTGTGGGTGCTACCAATACTGAAATAAAAATGATTCTTCATCATGTAAAGTGGGGAAAAAGACTGAATCTTGATACCATTTTCTCCATATCAACAAACTGTAGGGGAAAAAGAAGATAGCTGCTAAATTTAAAAACATATCTCCTGGTTTCCAGATTGGAATTTTGGTTTGGACATGAAATCTTGTCTTGTTTACAGAGATGGTGGAGTGATTTTATTATCTGGGAGTTAACCTGACCTGACACAGCTTCATCTGGGTCTAATTAATCTGTCTTTGTGAGGACCGGACGGAGGTTTAAAGCATGAAAGCACATTTTTAGAAAGTGAGGACGCTGATCTCTTAGTCAGCTGCTCGGTTTGTGGGTTAGAGACCTGAGAATGAAAAAGTAAACATGGGTGGTAACAGTGGTGCATTACACTAAAACAGCCCAATAAACCAACACAGCTCGAGGCTAATCTAACTACAAACACAGTGTGGAGGAAGGTTTGAACAGGTTTCAAATGGCTGAGAGCAGTTGAACTGACCAGATCTGGAGGAGGGATTCCCTTACAGGAGTGGAAACCTGCTGCACTGATCAGACCTTTGAATGAAGGAAATCAGTCTTTAGATCCAAACAGTTAATGAAGGAATTTCCAACAACATTGCAAAAATGCTGACACTGAGAAAGAAAATGTTCACCAACAAACTACATCTGTCTGCCAGACTATCTGATCCAATCTCTGCTTGTAGTGACTCCATTATTAGGCTGTTTGATGGTTCTGTTTGGCAGCTCCTGGTTCAGGTTGGAGAAAAGATGTTGGTGTGATTTAATGCAGAAAAAACGCCCCCATAGCGTCTTGCATGACATGTTTACAATGGACTGTGAACAGAGGGATTCAAGAAACAAACATAAAAAGATGCAAAACAACCACAAAGAGATGTAAAATGTATTTAGGGGGTGCAAGACCACCACAAAAAGAACACATAGAGATGCAAAACTCTCACAAAGACAGAAAGCCAACCACTTGCTCAGAGGAAGTCCAAAGGAAGCTTTGGATTGTTGGGTTCTCTGTTTAAACTCGTAAGGTCTATATCTTACTATGTTAAGTTAATTACTCAAGGTGCAATGTTTTATATTCATATTCTGACACTGTTATTTTTATACTATTTATATTTTTGCTTCTTATACTTTTTATCAATACACTGTTATTTTTATACTATTTGTGTACTCTTTGTATTTAGCTCTTTTTCCATTGCACAATTAACACAACGAGGTGCAAAACTAACAAAGACACCAGAAACAAAACGTAAAGACACGTTAAATTGCTTCAAAGAGACACAAAATGAACACGGAGAAAACCAATACAGACACAAAATGACTAAAACACGAAAAAAAATTACCACAAAGAGACATAAAACAACACAAAAAGAGACAAAATAAACCCAACAAAACGCAAAATGAACACAAAGACATGCAACACTCTTACACGTAGACACAAAACAACTGTAAAGAGACTAAAATTCTTCAAAGAGATGCCAAACACCTACAAAGAGACACAAATTGACCCCAAAGTGACACAAAATAAGCACTGAGACATAAAATCAAACACAAACTCACTTGAAAAAGATGTAAAAAGCAACCACAAAGAGACACAAAGTGAGTCTGCTGGAGCACTGGATGCATGTCAGAGCTGCACACACAGTACAACAATCTGAAAACTGCACACAAATACAAACACTCAGTCGGTGTTGGTCTGCGCAAAATGAAACATGAGTCGGTCTGCAGGTGCATCAGGTCAAAGATCTGCAGGTTTAATTAGACACACAGGAAGTTAATTACCAGCAGCTCAGTTTACAGCAAACACAAACACACAACATCACAGCGCTGACAGATCCTATCCAGCTCCTCATTTAACCACTTTATTACATACAGCTGTGACAAACTGAGGTCATTATTATCAGTTGTTGTTGTCCAAAATTTGGTAATTCTACTTTTTGGTAATTATTTACAAGTGTGCTGCTGGAATCAGTTGATTCAACTGCCTGAATGTGAAAGAGGATGAATGAATTCAAAGCAGATTCACAAGACATGGAGGCGAAAAATGCATAAATGTCCACGTTCTGATTTATTCACATGGTCCCCATATCATGACTGACACTGATGACTTGTGACAATGAGACTTTTCTTAGTTGAATAAAAGAAACAACAGTTGTTCAAATGTTTTGTGGGTGATTTTGCATCTCCTTGTGTTCATTTAGTGTTTCCTAATGTAATGCTAATGCTTCTTTGGCTCTTTGGGTTTTGAATCTTTGTCATTTTGTGCCTCTTTCTGTTCATTTGGTCTCTTTTAGGTAATCACGTGTCTCTCTGATAGTTTTGTGTGTATTTCTTGTCTCTTTACGGTCATTCTAAGCCTCTTTGTGTTCATCTTGTGCATGTGTTTTTGCACTATATACACTTTTTTCTTTTTCTGCCGTCTTATGTATCAAACGGTCATATTTAAAATCTAACCTCTTCCTGTCGTTCCTTCCTGGACTGTTACCCTCCCCGACTACCGCACCAGGGAAGTAGACAGTTTAGTTGAGGCAACGCTCAGGAGACACTATTTACATGTATGTAAAACTGCCATCTTTCCATGACATCAACCATTGTTACACAAACCAGAGCCGGGGAGGAGACTGGGTGGGACTTTAGTACGCCGTCCGTCCACCTCAGCTCGTAAACGTGGAAATTCATTGATCAAGTAAGCACATCTGTTACCAACAGTCTTCTTGGGTTCAATAATCTCTACTACTAGCTTCATCTATCAGCGCGTTTCATCGATGGAAGAAGACTTTTAAATTTAAACAAGTTGCTCCATTTCTATCCATACATACCCTGACATTAAGGCGTAACAGGACAAGTCTCCATGAATGCTGGGGTGATATTTTAATCACTATGTACAAGTTCCTGTCGGTGCACGCATGCTATAGCGGCTACTTGATATTTACATTTTTACAACCTCGACAAACTATTTTGTCACATTATTTAGCACATCAAGTTTGGAAAGATGTTTGACCATGCTGAATGTATCGTACAACAACTCGCTCCTCCGTATATGGTTTTTGAGCCATGCTGCGTTTGTTATTTTATTGATCCAGTACATTTGATGTTTTTCTCCTCTCTGTTCTGTTTGAACACTGCAGCCGAAAAGTCTGAATTCGCTTTTTCCAGGTGCAAATGCTTCATTGTTTGGATACTTTAATGACACTTGTAGAATAAAGTGATTATGAGCAGACATTGTGATTTTGAGCTTGTTTTTCCTGATGGAGCCGTACGTTTACAGATGATGCTTAGAAGGAGCGTTGGAAAGGTGAAAATGCATTGATTCTGTCTGTTTTTACCATTTCTGGTTGATAAATGTTGTAATTTCAGCTTTCTTTTAGAAAAAGAAAACACGACTCTCAAACCAGACTGCAGGTTTTGGGATTAAGAGGACTTAACTAAGAATATTCACATTTTTACAACCTCTACAAACTTTCACACGATTCTACACATCATCCGTAGAAAGACGTTGCACCATGCTGAATGTATCTTACAACAACGTGCTCCTCTGTACACCACTTTTGAGCCATGCTGCATTTATTTTATTGATCCAGTGTGTTTTTTTCTAGTGTTGTCTGTTTAAACACAGCCTGCAGTTCATCTGAAAAACACATGTCAGGTGACTGTTGGTCAGACTGTTGGAGCTGAGCAGCAACATATTTAGACTTTTGTTTTTTATTCCACAGGATCTGGTGCACATGGTTTTCTTTTTGAATACCTTTTCAATGAGACACGTAGAATAAAGCGATTTTGATTAAATATTGCAATTTTAAGCAGATGTTTCCCAGAGAAACTGCACATCACAGGTGAGACGTTTAAGGACAGTCGGAAAGTTGAAAATTCAACTTTTTTGTTTGTTTTAAGCGTTTTGTTCTGGCTGCTAAATTGGATCATTTTACCTTTTAGAGCTTCAAAAAAAACAACAAAAACTAAACCTGTCGGGAGGTTTTGGGGTTCAGAGGAACAAAGCTCTCTTGTACTTCACATCCTGAGCTCAAAGAGAAACTTGTTAAAACAGATTGTTTTCACTGTGTGTGTGTGTGTGTTTCCTCTACAGAGTGACGGTGACTCAGGTGTGGCAGGTGAGGACAGACTGAACCCTCCCCCTAAAAACCCTTTCGGCTGCAGATCACATAAAGACATGTACACGCCCGCCGACGCTCCGTCTGTGATTGGACGGTTCAAACACACGCAGCCTCTGATTGGTTGTTCTCTTGTTTCAAACCGTTCAAAAGGAAGCCTGGGGGGGTAAGAACTTAAATAAAAACACAACAAACAGAGGAAATTTAGGAAAATACTTCCACAATTTTTATGGCTTTTACAAGGTTGTTAGAAGGCAACATGATTTTTAAGGAGAGGGAACATTCATCTTATTTTAGGGTTTGTACAGAAATTTAAAAGAGGTGAGACAGTTTCTGTAAACATAAAAAAAACAAAACAAAACATCTGTGAAAATATTAAATCATAGCAAGTAATAAACCCCTTATATAATCCAAAAACAAAAAACTTGTCACAAACTGTTTACAGTGTAGAACAGTATTATTTACAGTGAGGGCAGTTTCTCTTTAAGGCTGCTCGTGTTGTTTTTGAACACATGAACGCATCTTGTTTAGGACAACAAAACATCATATCTACATGTTGGTATTACTACATTCTGTGCTGTTTGTTATCCCAAACCGGAGGCATTAATATGTTTGTAAGACTTTTTTTTTTAAAAATTCAGTTTGTGCGTCACAAACTGATTTAAAAAGAAAAACAGAAAAAAAGTCAATGAGCTTTTGAATGTGTGACCTGCAGACCAGCTATGATCTTCAGCTCCAGTTCTTTTTTTTTTTAAAAAAAACAAAATAAATACTTTTCTCACTGGAGATCAGTGCATGATGAAGTCTGAGATCACACGCTAACCACACGAAGCGCAGGAATAAATCATCTGAGGTCTGATGACAAAATACTTGAGAACAGAAGTGTGATGCGGCGAAAAGCTCAACTTCAAATAACACGTTTTTCAAATGAAAGCCAGGTGCACTGTTAAAACTGCGAAAGCTATAATTTTGTCTAAAACAACTTCCATCCAATTGGTGTTTAAAAAAACAAAAAAAACAACACACAAAAAATTTAAAAAAAACGTCCGAGCAGCTCCGCCCTGAAGCAAACTTTCCCTCCAAAACTCAAAGAATGTCACAAACACCTTCCCGCCCTTTTTTTTTTTTTTCTTTTCCTTTTCACCTTCACCTCGCCGGCTCGTTCATGCCTGCTCCGTCTTGCCGCCTTTCCCTCCTCCGTCTGCTCTCACGCATGTCCGCAGAGGACGAGGATTTAAATAAACAGCGCAGAGCATGATGGGTAACGAAGACGAGGCGGATAAAGGCAAAGCGAAAACAGCTGGAAAGAAGCCAGCAAAGATTATAGAAGGACACTTGCCTTGAGAAACTGTGTGTGTGTGTGTATTTTGTGTTAAAACCTAAAGTAGGGTGTAGTGATATTTGTTTAAGTAATGGACTGCACCTAGTACACGCGTGCACAGTTGAGCTGTATTAAAGGTTAATGGCAACCGCCGTTACACGGTAGTGAGTCAGCATACGATTAAATGTTAGATTGAGCATTTATTTGCAACAAGAACTCACATTTAAATGTCCGTATTGTCACAGTTTCTTGCTGTCAAAAGACTTTTTTACGGCAGATTGTTTTCCTGCGTGACGAAGCGACTTCGTGAATCAATCGACACACCTTAAATGTCAAGACTACAACTCGGTCTTTATTGGCTCTCGTGCTTTCGTTCATGAATTTCAAGCGGATTACGTGAAATGGGAAATACTCTGCTTCCTCAGTTCGTCACAGTGCATGACTAACATCTACAAACATTACAGCAGACATAAAGCTTACAATAGAAGCAGCGGCTCGTCTCCGGTGGATGAACCACTTGAAACCTGTTGATAAATGTAGAAGTGAACCCACCGATACACGAGAAGAGACGATTTTTGTTTTCGTGCCGCGGGTCGTAAAGTTCTCCTCAACTCACCCAGAAACAATTCAAAATACCAAAAACCATATTTAAAATACAGATTTTTTTTTTTCCATGTACTTTATTTCTCCCTGATTGGTTGACAGCTAGTTGGTTAAAATCAACTATCATGTGGATCGAAGCATATTCAGCTCAAGGAGTCGGTTGCAGCTGCTGCTTCGAACTTCAATCTGAAGTCACACAATCACATCCACCTGTAATTTACCAATGAGTTCCTTTGAAGAGTTTAGATGCTACAGAGAAGATATTTACACCTGGTCACCACAACAAGAATCAACCCAACACAACATACGCTCAGTTTACGGTTTATTATTCCCACTAATGCCGCCTAATGCAACAGTCCCCCAATAAATCCTCCTTTATGACTGTTATACAATTCAATTCAGGTGTTTTATAGAGATTGTTTTTGGTATTTTGGCCACCCTCACTGACCCTGTATATTCATCAATGAGGGTAGTTCAGCTCAACAGCATCCTCTAACAGGAAGGCAGAGTTCCATCAACCCAGGAAACTGAACAGAAACGGATCGTATCTGCAGCTGCAATGACCATCATTTCCTCCATTAATCGATTAGATGTTTGATCTACAACAATCAAGTGTTTCCCGAAGCCCAAATTCAGTTATTTCAACTGAAATCACTCAATAGCTGGAACAGTCGACAGCTAATCAATTAAGCTCTGATTATGACCTTCATGAAGGAGGATTTATAGAAGACTTGGCTGTAGCTGGGTGGATCGAACAAAGTGGATAATCGTGACAACTAAAACGGATCTCTTTTGTACACATTACTATAAACTCAACAAACTAAGATCACTTGCGCCTAATTTAGTTCCTCTCTTGTGTGAAACTTGCTCCAGAATGTTGGTTTCACGCTCAGCTGCTGCAGCCTAATCCTGGTTTATTCAGCTTCAGGTGACTGTGATGCAGAACTGAGGCTTCAGACTCAAAAAAAACAAACAAACAAACAAACAAAAAACTCATCCATTATCATGTATCTGCATGAACTCATTTTTAACAAAAAGACTTTTTTTTTACTCAACAAGGTTCTCTCTTTTTTTTGTTGGCAGTTTCTACCAGTTTTAACACTTATTTTGATTTTTTTGTGCAGCAAGTTAGAAACAAATCACTTAAAACTCACCTTTTTAAAAGATTTCTGCCCTGTTCTTGCCTTGTGTTTGAGTTTACAACATTTTAAAGATTGTTTATCATGTAAAGCATCTTTGAATATCCAGAAAAGCAGTTTATAAATAACTTCTTCAATAATAATAATAATTATTAGATGTATTATTGTTCATATTTATTACTTATTAATAAAATACTTTGGAACGTTTTGGGCGATAGAAGTAAAGATTATTATTTTTGCTTATTCTTGTTACTTTGGGAACATTGTGTTTATTTTAAAGGGGCACGTTCTACAAAGTAAATGTCAGTTACTAATAATTGATTAATTGCAATCAGATTTTTGCAAAGATTTGCGTTAAACGCTGTGAGAACAGAAGTATTACGGAAACAAGAGAGAAATGGTAATAAAGTTTTGGAGGAACCTCAGCGTACAAATAGAGAATAAAGAAAAACCTCGAGCGACAACATGTTTCGAACCAAGTGGACAAACTGAGGTATTCTGGGTCTCCAATTAAACTCTCAAGAGCAGAGAAGCATCTAAAGGTCGACTTTATAATCCTCCGCTGCACCTGATGCATCGCTCACCAGGTGAAGCTCCACCCGCCTGGAACAGACAGCGAGATAAAACAAACCACAGCATTTTCTTTCTTTTTTTTTTTTTTTTTGAACCTGAATGTCTCCATGTGTGGCCTACTGAGTGTCGTCCTCAGGTTTCCAGCAGGATAAAGAAAGTCACTCATCGCAGCCGTCAGTCCGTCAGCTTCAGTCCAGGAAACGTCGCAGAGTTTCTCTGTGTTTTGATTTTCCCCCCCAAAAGAAGAGCGAGACAAAAGCTGAAGGGCGACGCCTGTTAACGGCAGGAGGAGGAGGAGGTGGAGACGACCCACCCAGAGGTGGAAAAAAAAAAAAAAAAAAGAAGAAGCTCCAAAACACGTAAAATAAATCAGATCAAAAATAACAGCTCACAGTCCGAAACCCTGACGGGATCCATCAGGTTGGGTCGAATCGAGGTTTCCGCCGGGAGAGAGGGGGACGATGGGACAGCTGGTTAGGCGAAGGCTTCGCAGGAAACCGGCTGGATCCGCCTCCTCCGGGCTGCACAAGGAAAACGTGGGAAACTAAATGATGGGATGTTTGGGCCTGAGGACAGAGAAGAGAGAGGAGATGCTGTCATTACAAAGAAAAACACGTTTTTCCTTTAACCCTCTGAACCTCAAGCAGTTTCTGAGTTTGATCTTCACTGCAATATAAAGTCTTCCACCTCTATGGAAACAGAACAACCACGACTAGAAGTAGAGAGAACCCACAAATGTCTCCTGTGCTGTACAACCAAACTATAATATCATTA